ACTCATATTTATTTTTTTTCCAGATAACAAACTATTAATCTGGTCATGATTTTGAATTAATTATTCAAAAAATAGCTGAAGATTTTGGATTATTAGCTTTTGACATTAAAGTGAATCATAAAAATCATAGTATCAATATTATCATAACATATAAGAAAAAACTTATTCTTATTCAATATAAAAACACTAAGATGCCTATATCTGTTCAAATTGTATGAGTTTTTGAATCAGCTATTTCAAGGCTGCATCTGATTGTCTTGGAATTATTGTGTATAACAGTAAAAAATTAAAAGAAAAAGAAAAATTTGCAACTTTTAGAGTAAAACAATGGTATATATATTAAAAAGAAATATTAAAATTTGTAATGAAGATTAATTTGTAGAAATTATTAAGGATTTTTATGAATCAGATAATGATGATTATGTAGAGTTAGTTGATTATAAAGCTAACAAGTTTAATATTGTTAGTTTATTAGAAGAAAATGTTTCTATTGGTAAGATAGTTATCAAAAAAAATAAAGTAGATAAGTTTTCATAATTTTCTCCTTACTACTATCTGTTTAGTTTAATACCGAACAGATTTTTCTTTTTGTAATCTTTAAAACAATTGATTTATATACAAAATATCAGTTTTATTTTATGAACAAACTCAAGAACTCACAAGATTGAATAATCTTTTATCAATCTTTGATAGGTATGTACATTTTATTAATGATAATAATAATTATTGCATCTCATATATGAGAATAGTATTGAAAATCCAAATAGAAGAATTAGAAAAATTTAATTTCAAACATTACAAAACTGTATTTGCAACTTCTAAAGAGAAAATCAAGAGAATTATTAATCATTTTTTGGATTCTGAATTAAAAGATATGAAAGAATAACAATTTTATTCTTTATCTAATAAGATTTATTAGGAAATATATAAGTTAATTACTAAAAATTGTCATTGAATGCTCAAATAATGTTTTATAGTTTATATTTTTCAATAAATTTTATTTGTTTAGTTTAATACTGAATAGATTTTTTTATATATAAAAATGATTTGATCTATATCAATTGAAGTTGCTATGGCTCTTATTTTATTTTTATATTATTTGTTTTCTCTTATTTATTTTTAACATCCAAGAAGAAAAAAAATAATTGTATTTACAGAAACCATTAGTGCAGAAAAAACATTTGTAGCAAATTTATTTTATTATTATTTAAAACAAAAAGGATATTCTGTTTTTTTGTTCAAAGAAGCTTCTTTTGAATTGGCTAAAGAACTTAATTTATTTTATAAAAATAAGAAGAAGAATTGTTTTTTTTCCAAAGTGTAATAATAAATTTTTACAAGAAAAGAGCTTAACTTACCAAATATTTGGATTATAATTATATTATTAAGGATCATAGATATGAGGATATTAAAATATTTAATAAATTTCTAGTTGATAAATATGAAAAGAATTATATCAACAGAAAAGTTGATAAGATTGAATCTCTTCCTCCTTATAAGGTCGTTTTTGTGAATCCCCCTCTCGAAACTATGATTAATCATAAAAAAAAATGAAATAGAAAAGGTGAAAAATGTTCTATTCAATATTTAAGAGATCTTTACGATTTTTACCAAACTGATATTGATGTGATTTATAATGAACATATCATGTTCAAGAATGAAAATGTTTTATGTAAAGATTGTCTTAAATTTTCTCAATATAAAAAGAATTGTGTGATTTTAGCTCTTATAAGAGTCTCTTTGAGCAACTTTTATAAATTATTTCTATCTAACAAATATTCAGTTTAATAAACTGAATATTTTTTTAATTCAGTAAATATTAAAAATGAACTATAATAATTCATCAAGTCCTTCAAATCAAAATGAAAATTATGATGAATTTACATTAAAGGAATTGATAGAAAATAATAAGAGAAAAAAGTCTTTGTTTCTGTTAATTTAGTAAACTGTTTTATACAGTTTGAGCCATGATGTAGAACTTGATGAAATACAAAGAGTTTTATTAATCAACCAAATAGATATCACTATCAGATGTCATATTGCAAAAAATACTTTTTATCAAAAAGATGTAATTGAAAATATTGAAGAGCTTTTGAAAATTAAGCAATTTATAACAGTATTATCTAAGGATGATATTATAAAATATTTAGATAAAGTTATTAGTAGAAATGTAATTTCTGACAATATTATTATTGTTAATAACATTATTTCTTAAATTTAATTTATTTTTTATTATCATTGAGCATTTGTTATTTTTCTTTAAATTATATTTATCTACTTAGTTATTAACCAAGTAGACTGTTTAATATGTAATTAAAGATGGATTTAAATGAAGAACTAAAAAAAACTCTTGAAAATAATCAAATGAAGAAGCTTCTTTTTTCTACAATCTATCAAACAATACTTTACAATTTAGATTGTGATGATGAACTCGATAAGTTTAAAAGAATTTTAATCATTGGCTGAATTGATCTTCAAATCAATATTTTGATAGATGGTCAACCTCATTATACAGAAATCTTTCAAGAAAATATTGAAAAAATCATAGAGATTAAACAAGAAGTTAGAAATTTATCAAAAGATGATTTATTGGAATATATTGAAACTGTTTTTTATCTTAATGTTATTGCAGATATTATTATATTAAA